CAGGCCCGCCGCCTGACACTCCCCGAGCAGGTGTGCGTTGGCACGCCCCCTGACTGTGTTGCATGTGTCAGCCCACTCAGGGCTTACCTGGATGGAGGTAGGGGTGAGTTCCCTGTGGCCCCCAGCACACAGAAGAGGAGGCTGAGACCGTATTACCTGCCCAGAGTCACTTAGCTGGTGGCCGAGGTGGCTCCTCGCCTTGACCCCCCAGGCTGTACTGCCTGCTGAGAAGGCTCAGGGCTTTGGGGCAGCAGGGAGAGATACAGCACCCAGTGGGTAAGGATGGGAGCCCACACCCCAGGGCACACTCGGACCCATCAACCCTGGCTTAGTGTCTGTGGCTGGTCACTCCTGCTCTGCTGTGTACTATTCAGGCCTCATCATGTACCAGTGGTGCCTCTCACTCACGCTCCCGCCCACCCTCCGTCCCTCTGAGGCTCCTCACTGGCTCCATTCTGCCCTCTGGGTGAGCAGGATGCAGAGTGCCCCTCCTGCAGAAGCCAACACCCCGAGTGGCTTCATTCTCCCACACCTCCTCTCTCCTGCCAGCGCAGCCCAAGTGCAGCCGGAGCTTCTGCAGAGGGCCTCGGGGGCCACAGCTCCCTCACTCCCCATGGGCCTTGGCTGGCTCTGTGGACTGGGACCATCTTTGGCAAGCCTGTCACAGCAGTGGGAGAGCAGGAACTGGTGCCAGCCCTGCGGCTTCCAGGTCTCTGTCAGCCAGGGCTCCAAAATAGCATTGAGAAGCAACATCCATTGCATTTGAGCTACATGTCAAGGACCCCTGCTCAGCTGTCCTGGGGCCAGCATCTGATCATCTCTCCTAGGACAGGGGACAGGCCAACCGGATGGTATTTAATATGCTGCAGAGGGGTGTTTGCCAAGCTTCCAGGAGCCCACACACACTTCCAGAGACAATTGCTCTAGCTGCTTCCTCCCTTTGCCAGCTGCCTGCACGTGAGGGGGTGCAGGGACTCGGGGGGCTGTGCACAAGCTCATAAGGCCCCTCCCAGCTCCAAGAGCTGGGCCATGGCTGGGATTAGAAAAGCCTGTGCTCTGGCAGTGTGGCGTGGAAGAGCCTGCGGTTTAGAGACTCCAGGATTCGGTGTCCTGAGCATAGTGTTGAGTGGGGAAAGAACTGTGCTTCCATTTATATAAAATTTAAAAACACACACCAGTGTTCCTGCCATTTGTGGGTACCTATCTGAGGAAAACTGTATAGGAAAGATTCGCTACGGGAGTGAATTCACTGTGGGTGTGTGAGGAGGGAAGGGCTGGTGAGGGAATAGAATGGAGATGATGACAGGCTTCCATCAGATTCATAATATTCTAATTATTTTAGTGGGTGGTGGGTACATCTGAGTTGACTGCATTCGTCTTTATGCCTTTTGGTGTATTTAAATTTCTAAAAGTCATAACTTAATATACCAATTTTTAGGGTCCACATAATTCTATTTTCTGTAGTCTTATATTTAGGTAGCTAATTGCACAGAAAAAACTGGCAGTTACCTCTGCAAAGATGGGCGAGGGGAGTAGGATTTAGGGGAGTGATCAAGAGGACTTTGTTTGAGGAGAAGAGATTTTCATGTTATTTGTTCAATTAAGATTTTGTTTCTTTGAAATATAAAACTTAAGTAAAAAGTGGGGGAGAGTTCAAGGACTTGAAGTGATGGTGATTTTGAGATTTGAACAATCAGAGTGTTGACGGTTCTGCATTCCCACAGTTAGAATAGTCGGCAACCTGAGCAGCCAGACTGGGGCTCTGGCTGCCCCCATGCCAGATGCTCGATCCCTGAGACTCCCTGGCTGCCGGCCTGGAAGGTCCTGTGACCTGGGGATCTGTTGTTGAGTCCCTGCTTTGGCCCTCTTTGTCCTCCCTCTTCCCAAACGCTGTTGTGCTCCTTTCATGCTGGGGACAGATGGGGACACAGGACTGCAGGTTGCAGGAGCCAGACGTTCCCTGTGTGAATGTGTCCGTCAGCCTGTGGGTTGGAATTTTCCAGTCCCCCAGGAGGGAGTCCTGGATGTGGAATGATTCTTGGGTAGCTGCTTTCTCCTTCCAGTCTGGGCTGTTTCCCAGGGTCCACAGTGATGAGGTGGGGGCAGGAGGTGAATACAGGCATGTCCAGAGGGACCCAGAATGTGAGTGACCCACTGTCCTGACCCCGATTCCCACCATGCCCCAGTCCCAGGTCTGCCCAGGTGGGTGGCTGTCAGTCCCTTCCCACCTTGGGCATCTAATTCCAGCTGGCAAAGTCCCACCCTTCAGTCCAAATCCTGAAGTGCCATTTTCTGACCGTGTGGCCTTGTAACCTCTCATGAGCTCAGGCTTCTCATCCTGGAAGGGGGTACTAGCAAACCCAGTGCTTGGGTGGTGGTGATGAGGTCCACTGTGGTGCAGGGGAAGCCCGGCACCTGCCTGGCACAGGTGGGCATGCCCTCCTGCTGAGCCTCTCTCTGAGCTCTTGTCACTTCCTGAAGGGGCGAGTCTGTGGGTTCCCAAGACAGAGGCCAGAGTTGGTATCTCAGCTCTGTGATGTTTGGGGATCCCCTTGCTCCCGTGTTGGACACCCACCGTCAGAAACCAGAGCAGCCCAGGTGGGCTGGAAGCACCACCCCATGCCTCGTAAACACCTACACCTTTGGCATTTGTTTCTGAATGCTGGGGGCCTTTGCCACTTGCCCTGTTTTGAAATAACAGCATAACATATAAGAAGCATACATATAAGTTTATAAGGAGCAGGTGCCAAAAAGCAATAGATGTGCTGATGGATGTCATGATCCCCACCAGGGGCTTCATGGAGGGAGAGACAAAGCCCAGGAAAGGGAGGCTAGAGCCGGCTCTGCAGTCAGGGGCTGCCTGCTCCCTGCTCTGAACCTCAGTTTCCTCCCCTGCAAATGTAGAGTGACAAAATAATCCCCACTTGGAGGAGGTCATGAGGGGAGTTGCAAAGGCTCAGGCTTAGGAGTCCCAGGGAGGTGGGTTCCAGTCTTGGCTCTGTGGCTGCGTGGAGGGAGTGGCCCTTGACCTCCTTCCTAGGGCAGCTCTCAGGAGCCACTCAACACCGGGTCCGAAACAGAACGAGCCTTGTGGGGCCCGTGTGGTTGCAGTTGTGAAAATCTTGTGGTCCTGCAGGGAGGAGACTGGGGCCAGGCTCTGCAACCTGGTAAGCCCACAGAAATATGAATTACTTATACAGCAGCTCTCTTTTCAGGGAGGGAAGTCCGTGCTGGGGGACAATTGGTCATTCATGGATTTGCTTCCAGAGGGTGAATCAGGAAGCGCAGTGTGGTTCTGACACCATTTACTGTAGTCACTCATGTGCCTCAGCTCTGCTCCTGCTCCACCCGAGGACATGGGGCCAGAAGAACTGGACCCCAGTCCCACCTCTGCCACTCACTGCTGTGCAACTTCAGGTAAGTCACTCACCCTCTCTGAGCTCCATTTCCTCCACTGTACAGGATGAAACAAAAAAGGATACAGCATCCCTCCTTCACCTAACTTCAGTGGGTCTGAGAGTCCAGAGAGAATGAGAAAAAGGCAGTGGCCCTCTGAACTGCAGCCAAGGGCTGGGTTATTCATGCCTGTTCCCTCACGTAACCTTCCCAGTGAGGAAACTTTGCAAGTGCTTAAGAGCCAGGACCCTGCAGCCTGACTATCCTGGGAAACCATCCGCCAGCTGTGTGGCCCTTGGCCAGTTGCTGAACCTCTAGCTTTGGTTTCCTCCTCTTAAAACAGGATGATAATCTTATACCTCATTGAGGTTGTCGGGTGGGGGTGGGGGGATTGTAATGCATGTAAAAATTATATGTGTCTATATCTGAGATAGATTTGGGATTCCCAGTTTACAGGTGGGGAAACAGACTGATCAGATAAGCATCAGATAAGCAGAGAGGTCTGTGTGTGAAAAAGCAAAGTGAATCTGATTAGAGAGGATGGATGTGACCTCGCCTTCATCTCCGGATGGCTCCCCCACTCCAGCCGTGCTGGCCTCCTCAGTGTTACTCAGATTCCACGAAGCTTATTTCTGCCTCAGGGCCTTAACACTAGCTTTCCTCTACCTGGAATGCTTTCCCCCTACATCTTCCTGTATTCAGGTCTCCACCCACATGTGCCCTCTTAGAAAAGGACTCCCTGATGCCCTCTGATGTAGTTGGCTTCCCTCCCTCCTGCTTTCCACCTCTTCTGGTTTATTTTTGTCTTGACCTTTATTACCCCATAAAAAATTATATATTTGGCAACATGTTGATTTCCTGTTTGTCCCTTCGAATGTAACCACCAGAAGGGCAGGTGCTTTGCTTTATTCACCACTGTATTGCCAGTCCAGAAGCAGTGCCTGGCACATGGAAGGTTCTCAGGCTGTTTGTTGAATGGATGAGTGAGTGAGTAGGTGAATGAATGAATGGACACCCTAGATAGACTAGAAATTCTCCCTAGCCCCAGGACATGGCTACCACAAATGATAACAGCTTTGCCTCTGTGCAGCCACTGTGTGTGATAAGCCCTCCTGGCACGCTCAGGCATAGCTCTTATCGTCCCATTTTACAGTAGCGTAAATCAAGGCTGCCAGGGGATAGGAGTTTAGCCAAGGGCTCAAGGCCCTTAGGAGGCAGAGCCAGCCTCAGACTCGGTCGGCCCGACTCCAGGGCGCCAGCCTGTGCGCACTCCGTGGCTCACATATCTCCGTGCCAAGGGCAGAGAAGCCACCCTGGAAAGCAGCGTCATTGCAGGCTCCTAGGCAGCACGTGTATTTTAGCAACAGATTTCCAGGTTTCCAGCGCTGGCCAGGAAGGGGCCGTTGCGGCCTCGGCTTATTTGCAGCCCCGTGGGCGCGCTCCGCCTGGTGGGTGACTTTGCAGCGAGGGCGCCGCGGGGCGGCCGCGCCTGATGCTGCAGTTGCCATGGCGACGAGCGCCTCGGCGATTGGTCCAGCCCGGCCGCACTACGTTGCTCTTTAGGCTCCCGTGCGCCCGCCCCTCCTCCGGATGCTGCGAGAGCAAACCGGGCGCAGATTGCCCCTAGCCCTCCCCTACTTCTCCCCGCGCCCTGCCACCCCGGATGTGCGGGAGGAGAAAAGCCCGAGGTGGTCCCAGGTCGCAGCGAGGCCGATGACCCCCCAACCAGGCCACCATGGTGACCAGATGTCCAGGCAGGCTCCTGGGCACCGTGTAGCCCTGCGTGCTTGGGGCCCCTCGGAGTCCGCCGCTGCCACCCCCTGCTCCCGCTGCAGCCCCTGTGCAGGAGCCTGCCACCCCCGGGAATGTGACTCGCTCTTCGATTTAATTTTATTCCCTTCCACTTCTCGCCTGAGCATCCTGCTCCTCCTCTAACCACGTTGAGCCTTCTCTGCTGGAGAGGCAGAGAGAGAGAAGGGAAACTGCCTTCAGACAGGATGGCTTGCAGAAGACGCTATTTGTGAGTATATGTGGCAGGTTTGTGCCTGAAACTCAAGGCCAGAGGGTTCCTGGCTGAGCTTGGAGCTGGAATCCAGATTTGGTAGGGGGAAGGGCAGGGTGTCAGGCAGGTGGCTTGCAGAAGGAGCTGGCCATCAGCAGTGATGCCAGCGTTTGTCCCCTGCAGCAGAGGTATCTGTTGGTGGTGACGATGGGAAAAGGCTATTAGTCAGCAGGTCTCCGGTGGACTGTGAAATTTCCTATATCTGAGGGCAGGTAACTCTTCTAAATCCACTGCTACAGTTCTGGCCTTTGGTATAGCCCTCAGCATGCCCATTTGGAAAAGCCTCTCATACCCAGCTCATACATGACTGGCACTTCAGATGGAAGGTTGGCAGGAAGGTTGGGGTGGGGACAAGATGCTACGTCCTCCACAGGCAGGTGAAGGTCCAACCTGCCATCTCAAGCTGGGGGCATCAGTGTCCCCCTGTGCCACCCAGATGTTCTGTGGGCCAGTGGCAGAGCACCTGTTTGCTGGGCCTAATGCCAGTGGCAGAGGCTGTCAAAGTCTGCACGGGGTGGTGACATCACGGGTCTGAGTATTTATGGAAACTGAAGCCTGTGCCTCGTTAAGCCAGGCTTCCCAGGGGCACGGAATTGGAATGCCAGCTTCTCCCGAACTCTCTGAGCTCTGCAGTGTGCTCTTCTGGGATGAGCAACCTTTGGTCTCTGGCCTTGCAGGACCCCTCCTCTGGCACCTGAGCCCTTAGGGGTCGAGACGCAGGTCCACATCTCCAGCTGCCCTAGGCAACTTGCCTAGTGCCTGGGCTGCTCAGGGCTGCTCAGCAGCCTCAGACCTTGTAAGGTCAGAGAGCAGAGTTGGACCTCTCTGGCTGGACTCAGTCCCCAGGAGGAGAAAGGGGAGGCCTGGAGCATTACATAGGGGGGCAGCTGGGGGGCCACCCCAAAGCCTTGCAAACCCCTGCATGATGACAAGAGCCTGAGGAGCCCCTGGTTAAGCAGCACCCGTACCGCTCCATCAAGGGACAGCTCTCTTGCTAATGGAGCATGGTGGAAAGTAAACATCCCTTTAGCCACCCCATCAGTAGGCCCCGGAGGGGCCCTGTGGGTGATGAAGGTGGCCTGTATCTGTGGTTTTCTGTGATGTTCATCAGGCTTTTTAGTAGAAAGGCCCACAGGTTGTTTGTTGATGTGAGCGGAATACACCAGAGTTCTCACTCCCCGTGACAAGGCCCTGGCTGTATTTTTGGAAACAAATAGTAAATCCTTTCTCTGCAGGGAACTTCTGCCACCGTTGCTGGGAACATGCCCTCCCAAGGCAGCCGTCTTCCTGCTGCACCTTTGCCTGGGCCCAGGAGCCCCAGGTCAGAAAAATTCCCAACTCTCAGGGGCTGTTGGGCCCTGGGGGAAAAAGTGTGTTCATTAGGGTGAAATGTGCCCATCTACACTGTGCCAGTCTACTCAGCCCTGTACCTTGCCTCCAAACGGTCGGTGATGGAATCCTTCCAACAGCCCTGGCTGGGCAGGCACTAAGATTCATTTTCCAGATGGGGAAACCGAGGCTCATCAAACTACCCCTGGAAACTTGGAGCGTCCTAACCTGGGGGTGGGAGTTTTAGCCCAGACTCTACACTAGAACTGGAGGGGTTTTTTTTCAAGTCCATGCCTGGGTCCCACTCCTAGGGATTCTGGTTTATGGGTCTGGTGGGGAGGGCAGGGAGGGTGCTCCAGTCTCAGGATCCATTTAGTTCTCTGCATGATCTTCATGCACAGCTGTGGCTGATGTTCACGGATGTAGCTAAGGCCCATGGCAGTGTTTCCTGGGCCTACCCAATCATGATTTTGCCAGGGACCAGCTACCATTCGGATTCCAATACCCCTCTGGATACCAATACAGACTCATTCGGTCCACTGGGGGCCCAGGAGCCAGCATTTTAGCACATGGGCCCTGGAAGGTTTGCTCACCCACCAATTAAGCTTGTCTTGCCCACTTGCCTGGGAGAGGAACTGGGCTGGTGCAGAGGGTGGGCCTGTGGGGGACTCTGCTCCCTGCCTCCCGTCCCTGTGGGTCTTCCCGTGCTTCCCCAGCTCTCAGGCCTCCACAGGCTGGCACAATGACAGCCAGGCCATGCCCCCATGTGCTGCCACCAAACTCAGGGGCTCTCCTATAGAGAGACCAGGAAGGTGTGGCTGAAGAGGCACCATCACCCCTGTTGTTATAGAAAGATTATGGGACCCAGGGCGGGCATTGCTTGTTGAAGCTGTGCAGTGGGCACATGGTAAGTGTGTGTTTGCACACCGTTGTGCCCTCATCCAGAACCAGGGCTCTGCCAGCACCTGCCTCTCAAACCTCGTGGTTACTGGGGCTGCTGAGTATCTCTAGATGTCTTAACTTTCAGGGCAGCTGCAAGCTTGGTACAGCAGCTTCGTGGCCATCGGTGGGGCCCTCACTGTTTGGCGTCACAGCCTCTCATGCCCAGTCACCTCACTGGTTTTCACTAACCGTGAAATGGGGTGCTGTTGATCCCCTTTCACAGAAGAGAAAACTGAGGCTCTGAGAGGGGAGGAGCTGGGCTGAGGCACATGGCTGTTGCCTGCTGTACACTGGATGGTGGCATATGCCTCCCCCAGTGTGCCGCACGCCAGACCCGGGCAGACTTACTCCCGTGTCGCCATATGTGGTCAGATTGGAGTGTCCCGCGGCCCCTAGTAGCCCTGCCAGCAGCCTCTCTGTCCTCCAGCTTCTTCCCCTCCACCCAAGAGAGTGCTCTGGAATCTAGATTAGCAGTTATTCATGGAGGTGGCACAGTAAATGAGATAAAGGATGATAATAAAAGCAGCAGATTTATTAATGAAATGGGAGAAATCCAAGAATCAGTTCCTTAATCAAATTTACTAATGACCTAGGTCATTACATACTGACAACTTAATTAATGGTGTCTTAATTAAGGTCAGCCCCCTTCAGACTGTAACTACACTTAACTTGGTAACTGCCGTCTGACTGCCACGTCACAGCCTGCTACTTGAATACATGGGTTGCAGGGAATTTGTAGTGGGTGTGAAATTCAGAGCTGCTGGTGGGGGGGGAAGCAGGGCAGTCTCCTGCCTCCCTCTAACACCTGCTCATTCACTCATTCACTCATTCATTCATTTGCTCTGCCTGGAACCTCTGGGGCCCCTCTCCATCCCTCCAGGGCTTTGCTCTAACCGCCAAAGCTAGATTGCAGGTCCCACCCTGACATTCCCACACCCCTTCCTGCCCAGCACTGCTTCCGTCTGGCCGCCCCTGTGTCCTTACTTGGTCGGTCGCTCCATCTGTGCCACTTGAATGTCAGCTGTGCCAGGGCACAGGGGTTGACAGTATGCTAGCTGCTGCTCTCTGTGGTGCCTAGAAGAGCACAGGGCATGTAATTGTTCCAGAAGTCTTTGTTGAATGAATGAACTGTGCTGGGCACTGCCCTAAGCAGTGGCCACATTGCTGAGTAAGAAATAGTTTCTGCCTCTGGGAACTGCAGGCCAGTGGGGGAGACAGATGTGAGCAGACAAGAGTCCATAGAAATGCCAAAGGCCGAGACAGGAAGATGACTCGGGGACATGGAGGTTACAACGTCCTGCAGGAGGCGGGTAAGCTGAATGGGGTCTGCCAGGTGGTCAGAGCAGGAAGGGCACTGTAGGTATACAAATGTCAGGCATTAGCTCAGTTGACCTTCACAGGGACCCTGGGAGGTGGGGCTGTCATTTTCCCCATTGTGGAAACACTGTCACTGAGTTACTGAATATCTTGCCCCCAGCAACACCCAGTGAGGGGTGGAGGCAGGGCTTGAACTCAGGCCGCAAAGCCCAGCTTTATGCTCTGTACACTGAAGACTTTTGCTGAAAGTACTTGTGTTTGGCTTGAGCCTGGAGTGTGAGGGAGAGAGAAGAGATGCACCTGTGGGTGTGGGCAGGACCCAGGACAGGAGGTGTCTGCAGTGCCATGAGGGGCAGGCAGTGGGTGGTGGGGAACCATGGAGGACCCAGGTCCAGGCTGGGAGCCATGGGTGCACCCCTGCACAGTGCAGGAAGTTGAAGGGGGAGGCAAGGCGGGACTCTCCACCATCTTTTCTCTCGGCCCATAGCCGGGCACATGTGACCCCAGAGAGCAGTGACTTCTTAGGGCCTCAGATGTCTACATCCCATTTGGGACAGTCAGGGACACTGCCAGGGAAGCAGGAACTTTCTGCCCACAGGCTGGGTAAGATGGAGTGTGACTTCCTCCCTGCAGGTCTGCTAGGAGCCAGTATGCTCCTGAGAATGCCCCCGGGTCATGGTCTAAGGGGCCAGCACTGTGCCCTGGACAAGAAGACCCTTCCACTTACCAGACCTCCGCCTCCCATCTGGCCTGCACACTTACGTCTGGCCCAGGTTGGTGCTGGGTGGCCTGGACAGGGACCTCCAGCTTGCTTTTAGGAGTGTCTACACAGCCAGACCCAGGTGGGGCTGGCCCTCGCCACACGCTTCACAAAGCACTTTGGGCAGTCCCATGGGGAAGGGACCCCACAGACCTCACAGAGGTGGCATCACACAGTCTGTGTCCTTCTGTGACCTGCTCACTTCACTGAGCAGAACGTCCTCAGGGTTTGTCCAGGTTGTAGCCTGTGTCAGAACTTCCTTCCTTTGTAAGGCTGAGTGATATCCCACTGCATGGCTGGGCCACATCTTGCTGCTCCGTTTATCCGTCAGTAGGCACTTGGGTTGCTCCCACCTCTTGGCTACTCGGAGTGGTGCTGCTATGAGCATGGGTTTGTGAATATCCCTTCAAGACCCTGCTTTTGATTCTTTGGGGTGTACACCCTGAAGTGGGGCTGCTGGATCATAACGGCAGTGCTGTAAGGTTTTCTGAGGAACTGCCATGCTTATCCAGGCGCCTGCACCGTTTGATGTCCCCACCAATGTCCAGGCCGGTTCTCATTTCCCCACATCCTCACCACCACTTCCAGGGTTTTTTGTTTTGTTGTATAA